CCCCCCACCCACATGTTGGGCGTAGGGGGATTGTTTGCCTCCCTAAAAAAGGAGGCCGGTTCCGCCCATTCTAGCTCCAGGTTGAGAGAAAGAGAAACAGCTTGAGGTTACAACTTCTTCATTTTTCATCATATATCTCTCATAAAGCCTTAAGTCTCTTTTATAGAGGAGGACTAGAACACACAAATAAATAAAGCTAAAAGACCAAATTACCCCTAATTAAAATAAAAAAAAATACAAAAACCTCCACCTCATCTCTTACTTCCACATAAGTGAGAGATGACCAAATGAGCTCCAATTCTGCTGCACCAATATGGTTGCATACGTACCCCACTTTAAAAGGGATTAAGTCTCGCATAATTCTTCAAAATGCCCAACTCGGCAATCAGTCTTGAGCTAGGATGTTCCCCAAACTCCTATAGTATGCTAACTTTTGGACTGATAATATCTTCATGAGCATGTCTACAGGATTCTCTTTTGTATCTATCTTTTTCAACAAAACTTTGTTGTCATCAATCAAGCCCCGAATAAAATGGTATCTCACATCAATGTGCTTAGTACGAGCATGATGAACTGGATTTATGACCAATAATATCGCACTCTAATTGTTACAGAATTCTGTCAGAGACTTCTGGTCAACTCCCAAATCATCTAATAGTCTTGCATTCATATCGCTTCCTTCGTCACTTCCGTGACTGACATGTACTTAGCCTTTGTAGTAGACAAAGCAACAATAAACTGAAGAACCGACCTTCAACTAATTGGACCTCTTGCTAATGTGAATAATTAGTCAATCACATATTTAAGTCTATCCATATCGCTTGTATAGCCTAAATCAGCGTAGTATACCACAAATCTGTAATAGATTGAAGTCTCTCAAACACCAAGCCAACATCAACTGTACTCTTTAAATACCTTAGAATACTCTTAGCAGTCTATCAATATTTCTTTTCTAGATCATACAAGAACATGCTCACAACATAAATATATTGGCTCCTCATGTACTCTTATCCCCTGATGAACTGATCAAATTTTTTATTCTATTATAGTGGTGATTGCTTCAACTCATACAAGGACTCACCCAATTTGCAAATTAAGCCGTTTGATGCTCCAAATCCAGGCGGCTGCAACATGTGGATCTCCTCTTGTAATTTTCTATGTAGAAATGCAGTCTTCACAACGAGTTGTTGCAAGATCAGACCATATTATGTTGTAAGTGCTAAGAGAACACAGATTGAGAGGTGCGTGACTGCTAAGGGGATCAACTCATAATAATCAACCCCTTCTAGTTGCGCAAAGTCTTTTGCTAAAATTCTTACCTTGTAACGCACATCAGCTCCATGAGATCCTTCCTTCCTTGCATACACCCATTTGTACCTGGTGATTTTCCTTTCCAGAGGAAGCTTCACCAATCTCCAAATACCATTATTTCAAATAGATTTTATCTCTTCATCCATTGCCGCTCTCCAAATATCACAATCTAGACTCTTCACTGCTTCTTCGTAGTGATAAAAAATTTTCGCTTTCGTGGCTAAAAGTGCAAAAATAATGTGATCTCTCAACTAAGCTAATTTTGAGATGTTCTGGTGTCTGCTCCTACTCCTAGAATTAGATTCTTGAGCAGGAATCTCATCCTCAACATCTTCTTCCACCGTCTCCTGAGTATTATCAACAGATACCTCCTGAGCTGCAACTGAATCAGGTATTTGAATCAAAGTGATGAACTTTGTATCTCACACTCAAACTTTTATTTTTACTTCATGAGCACTTTTCCTATGTATGAAAAGGTGGATTACATAGGAAAATGTACTTTAACTATAAAAATCAAAGTTTGGATGTGAGATATGTAACTACATAAGAATTGGGTGTATGTATGATATGTGTATATATTATTAAATCAGCATCAGTTCCAATAACATAAATTCTCCCAGGCGAGGATAGATAGTATTGGCCTGATAGGGAGATAATATTGGTGATATTGGCTTGATATTGAGATAATTGGTGATATTAGAGTGATATTGAGGTGCAATTTCTTGAATGTTCCTCAAACAGCTTTTGTGTGCAACGAACGCGATTTGTATCCGTGAGATTGTGATCGATGTCGGTGATTTTGGTTTGCGCTGTACATTTCGATGGAACTCGTGAAATTGGGACAGACCTTCTTTATGATTCAGGATGAGAGCTTGTTTGATAAGGCGAGGGGTAACAAGCTACATTGGCATGCTCTCAATATTAATGAGGGTTTGCAGCAGATCAAGTATGCGTTTTCTGATAAGATGCGGTCTTTGACTGAGAAAAAGATGGAGTTTCGCTGCGACAGCGTTGTCGGAGTAGACTGCAGCGGCGGCCCTGCAACCGCAGCTGATGCCGGAGAAGAAGGTAAGTAGCAGACAACTATTCCTTCGTTTTTTCCCCTAATTTTGTTATCCCTTTACTTAGTTGCTAAGGTTCGGGTATAATAGTGGAAAAATGTGGCCGGATATCTCGGGAAATTCCGCGATTTTATAGGTCAGTTTAAAAGTTTCCCTGAAATTTTAGTTTCAGATGCGTTAATGGTATCAGTCTGTACCTATCTAGCACTAGCTATTTTAACTAATTTGAAAAAAAAATACAAACTTTAGAGATAAAGACCAGCAAGCCTTAAATTTCAATTAGTAAAATCACTTAAAATAAGCATATGGTTTACTATTAGGGCCATTTACATACATGCCACAAAATTCTTATGTAGTTTCATATCTTACTCCTAAACGGATGTATCAATCAAATCTTTAACAGCACATCAAAAATTCATCTTCAGTAACTTTTAAAGAATAAATTGCACGTTTTTATTACACTAATGTGTTATGACTGTAAATATCAAACTCTAGGTACTTATGAAAGTAAATTAAGGATTTTGAGGCATGTATGAAATACATCATTTAAAAGTTTTCTATTATTATTGAGCAGTGGGGCAAATCTGGAGGCCAAAAATGAGCGTCAAGACTGATCCGATGCTGTTTTCATTATTGAGGACTGGATTGGGAACATAGAAAGGTGACAAAGCCGAAGAAGTTTTGCTGGCATTAGCCACCTGCAACACCATCGATCCCATCTTGACCGAAACAGATGATCTCTCAATGAAGCTAATAGACTATCAGGGTGAGTCACCTGACGAGCAAGCCTTACTCCATGCCACAGCCGCTTCTGGTTTCCTGCTCCT